TCAGCGACAGTAATTACAAAGCTACAGTCTTCTACTGGAACTACAGCAAAATGCCAGGTTTAACTTCTGACTATGATTGCTGCTCTTCAGTCAATACCACTGCATTTTTGATTGGCAAACCAAACCATATTGCCTGTTGCTCACTGCTATGCAGAACACAAGACCCAACTCCAGACTTGTATGGCACAATTGAAAACTCTGCTCCTGTCAAAAATGGTACTTTCCTTACTTAGGATGTTTGTCTATGTCAAGTGTTGCATCATCAGTGTTATTCATGTTAAAGAGTTGCAAAAATGAATAAGCTTCTGCTGCAAAGTCCGTTCACTGCAAAATGGATTTGCATGATAAGAATTCGAAGGCCTGTGAACATCAACATATTTCTTCCTCGTACCAACTATACAGATAATTATAGTGATATTAATTTTCTAGTGAACAACTTAGCGCATGGCAGAACATTTTAAGTTTTAACACTTTTACTGTAATAAAATCAACACTGGTTCAACATTACATAGTAGACAACTAATACTTTAAACTATACAGATGGCATTCCCCAGTAAGCTCTTAACACGATTGAAAACCCTACGTCATATTATACATTACAGCAGATTCTTAGCAGGTATGTAACCTAATATTTAAAGCACCAAATGTTTCCCACTAGTCCAGCTGCTCTCTTCTGCCTCCCAACCAGGGTGAAACGTCCAATGTCCATTTAAGCACAGTCCTCTTAGCTCAATACTCTGAATGGCCTGCCAACAACAAGAAATCCACTGATGACTCTTGGGTCTTCAATTTTCCACATCAAGCTTCAATCCCTTAGACAGTGGTTCTGTCGTCACCAACATTCCATTTGGTGATTAAGTGAAAAGCAATCCTTTTCTTCTGCCTGGCATTGCAGGATCTGCTTACAGTCTGTCTCTGATAATTTGATCATCTGCAAGCAGTAAGAACAGCTGCCTTTTCTTGTCTCTATGTGTACATTAATAGGTTTTGAGCTAAACCTCATTTGCATTACAATCAGATATCATGAACTTATCTCCAGGCAGAACTAGGAGGAGATCACATTTTGCACACTACTGTTCCATTTTACCTTGAATTAAAGGCAACCGTTTTAAATGTTACATCTTACATTCATTATAGCTTGTATTTTATATAGCCCATTGTGCAGTGGTGATACTGGCAATCTTCTACCTTCAAACAATACCTCGAGATGCATCAGCAAACTGAAGTTTCACCAAAACTGCTGCTCCATTGTGACAATGATTTGGGATGTCATTTCTTTCTACCAAAAATGCATTCCCTTTAAATGCTGTGAGATATATTAAATATTGTAAGCTTACTATGTATTAGTATAACAGACCTGATTAACGCAGGTCATGCCGGCTCAGGAATGTAAAACTTTGCTGAACACAGAGCAACAAAAATTTGTTACCCTCTAGCCCTAGTCATGGAAAATCTGTGCGGTTTACAAGAACTGGGGAAATATTAAGTTATGTATTGAGTTATGTGAAGGATAATTTCTTTCATTAAAGAGAACATTTACTTTATACAGTATAGAGAAGGTATACGTACACTCATAGGAGTAACCCTTCTTACTTATTATGAGATTATGAAAGTAAATTAGCTCAGAATATAAAAACAGGCAGCAAAAGTTTCTATAAATATGTAAATCGTAAAAGAGTGGCGAAGGTAAACATTGGTCCTTTAGAGGATAAGAAGGTCAATTTAATAACTGGGAATGAGGAAATAGCCGAGGCATTAAACAGTTATTTTGTGTCAGTCTTCACAGTGGAAGGCACAAATGACATGCCGAAAACTGATGGCAAGAAGGTTATAGCAGGTGAGGACCTAGAAATATCATTATCACTAAGGAGGCAGTGATGGGCAAGCTAATGGGGCTAAAGGTAGACAAGTCTCCTGGCCCTGATGAAATGCATCCTAGGGTACTAAAACAGGTGATGGGGGAAATAGCAAATGCAATAATAATTATTTACCAAAATTCACTGGACTCTGGGGTGGTTCCCGCAGATTGGAAAACAGACAATGTGATGCCACTGTTTAAAAAAGGAAGTAGACAAAAAGCAGGTAACTTTAGGCCAGTTAGCTTAACTTTGGTAGTGGGGAAAATGCTTGAATCTATCATTAAGGAAGAAATAGCAAGACATCTGGATATAAATTTTCCCATTGGGAACACCCAGCATGGGTTCATGATGGGTAGGTCATGTTTAACTAATTTGGTGGAATTCTTTGAGGACATTACTTGCATGGTGGACAATGGGGAACCTGTGGATGTGGTGTATCTGGATTTCCAGAAGGCATTTGACAAGGTGCCACACCAAAGGCTGCTACATAAGATAAAGTTGCACGGTATTACAGGTAATGTATTGGCACAGATAGAGGATTGGTTGACTTGTAGAAAGCAAAGAGTAGGGGTAAATGGGTGTTTTTCTGGTTGGCGGTCAGTGGCTAGTGGTGTGCCTCAGGGATCAGTGATGGAACTGCAATTGTTTACAATTTACATAGATGATTTGGAGTTGGGGACTAAGTGTGGTGTGTCAAAATTTGCAGATGACAGTAAGATGAGTGGTAGAGCAAAGTGTGCAGAAGACCCGGAAAGTCTGCAGAGGGATATAGATAGTCTGAGTGAGTGGGCAAAGATCTGGCAGATGGAGTACAATGTTGATAAGTGTGAGGTCATCCATTTTGGTAGGAATAACAGCAAAATGGACTATGTTTTAAATGGTAAAAAAATTGCAGCACGCTGCTGTGCAGAGGGACTTGGGTGTCCTTGTGCATGAATCGCCAGAAGTAGGATTGCAGGTGCAGCAGGTAATTAAAAAGGCAAATGGAATTTTGTCTGTCATTGCTAGAGGGATGGAGTTTAAAAACAAGGAGGCTATGCTGCAGCTGTATAGGGTCCTGGTGAGGCCACACCTGACGTACTGTGTGCAGTTTTGGTCTCCTTACTTGAGAAGGGATATACTAGCACTGGAGGGGGTGCAGAGGAGATTCACTCGTTTGATTCCAGAGTTGAGAGGATTGGATTATGAGGAGAGACTGAGTAGGCTGGGATTATACTCATTGGAATTCAGAAGAATGAGGGGAGATCTTATAGAAACATAGAAGATTATGAAGGGAATAGATAAGGTGGAGACAGGGAGGTTGTTTCCACTAGCAGGTGAAATTAGGACTAGGGGGCATTGCCTCAAAATAAGGGAAGCAGATGTAGGACTGAGGTCAGGAGGAACTTCTTCACCCAAAGGGTTGTGAATCTGTGGAATTCCCTGCCCAGTGAAGCGGTTGAAGCTACCTCGCTGAGTGTTTTTAAGGCAAGGCTAGATAAATTTTTGAACAGTAAAGGAATTAAGGGTTATGGTGAGCAGGCGGGTAAGTGGAGCTGAGTCTCAAAAAGATCAGCCATGATCTTATTAAATGGCGGGGCAGGCTCGAGGGGCCGGATGGCCTACTCCTGCTCCTAGTTCTTATGTTCTTATGTACTTAATTATTCAGGTTCTTTGGTAAATAATGCAGAGCAATAAACTCATCATTAAAATAAACAATTACAGTTAAAGCAAATCCATAAGGAAAAAAAAGCTTGTACTTATTAATTAAGTACTTTTATCCGACCTCATCTTCAATGCCAATCCCTGCCTCTTTATCCAAGATGTCTTCGTTGGGGACAGATTTGGTAATGTTGCTATCTACGAATCAATACAGAAAACAATGATTTTGGATTTCTATTGCTACTGGCTTCTTTTTAAACTGCACTTGGTGGATTTCAGCTCCCCATAACAGGTAGAAGAGAAACATTGGACTTAGGCGCACAAGTAAGCTATTCAGCCCTTTGAACTTGTCCCACCATTTGATAGGATTATGGTTTACCTGATTGTGACCCTAACTCCATGTTCCTTTCTGCTCCCCTCACAATCTTTGACTCCCTTTTCTATCAACGTCTATCTAACTAAGGCTTATAAAGGGTTCACAGCCTAAACAGGGGCAGGGGTAAGTTAAAGTTTGAAAAATCTGAAACCCAGCCTGGCTTAAACATACCCCCTTTCTAATTTAATGGAGGGAGATTGAGGTTGGACCAACTGGTTCTTCAGAAATGGCTCCATTATTTAAGTAAGCTAACAAGGCTGTATGGCTCAATATTTTTAGACACGGTAATCGTGAGCTAGTTTTTGAGCGTTCAGGAAACCTGGCAGCTGAAGAGAGACAAGAACAAGTAAAAAAAAAACTGTTAAGTGCTTTTCCAGCACTGCTAGTGATTCCCACTGCAGCTCTCTAACTAATCCTAATTCTCTCTTGAAGCCCTCTGCCTAAATCTACAAGCTGACCTTCCTACAATGTTAAAATTCCCCAACACACAATCCTCCCCTCACTGACCCATAATCTCTTCAAACTACTCCACCAACATCACTCCCACTCCATACTCACCTCTCAAAACAATCACTCCCTCCTGCATCTCTGCCATTCAACTCCCTCCCCTCCCATCAGATCTCCAGCCTCTCTTACTGGCTGGTTGCCACAGAAGAAACAGAGAAATAAAGTGCAAATGAAGTTCTAGCATTAAATTTAGCTGAGTTTCTGCATTTCTCACATTTATGAACAATACATCCCCACTGCCATAAATATTCAGCTCTCTGTAATATTCTGAAACAATTCACCACAGTTTTGGTTTCAGCATCTGGAAGGTCTATCAAACACCTATTATGCAAGTGTAACTCTAAATATAAAATAATATATTGAATATTTGCAGGAATGCAATCGGCTTCAACCATTATATATGCATATTCCTGACAGTTTTGTAGAGAAATTGTTCCTAAATTCTTCAACTGGCCTGTTGATGACTATCATACATTAAAGGCCACCTGGCTTAGGGCTCACTCAAGTTTCCCCATGTTCGCTCTATGAAATCTCTTAATAACCTTTGTGGCCTTTGCTTATGTAAATATCAGAAAAATCTAGCTCAGTTCCATCAAAGTCTACTCATTTGTTCTTACCACAATAGCCGGCATTGCAATCTGTTTCATCCTTTTTGCCATTGTAGTTCACTTCCACATCATCCTGAATTCAAAGTTTAACAGAATGGGATCAATACGCCAAAAGATAATTCTGTAAAGCTTCAAAATATCTAATTCATCGCAGTCAAAGTCCCAGAAATAAACCTGCCACACGCTTAAAATTAATGGGAATAATTTTCCCTTTATTTCCCAAAATAAGTGCAAACAGGGTGACACAGGGCAGTGAATTTAGTGGTTATTGTTTAATTTTATTTGAGCTCAGTCTGTTATTTACCGTGTGTAGTTCCAGTCCATGTTGAAGATGAAGCCCCAGACCAAAATAGGGAGGAGTTTCATTAATGAACTGTGGACAGTGTTGTCTTTTGTGAAAATTTCTTGGCACATCGATGTGTAGGGTGTCAATAGAAAAAACTATCTCCAGAAACTGAGGAAAAAACAAGATTGAAAAGGCACTGGCAGTTCACAGAAAAGTTCCTTTCAAAGAGATCCAGACTGGAATAGCAGGAGGACTCAGAATAGTAAGGCTACAGGTGGAAAGAAAATACTGCACCAGATCTTGCTAGAATGGCACATCTCACATTATCCTCATAAATTAAGCTTCTTGCCTCAAATTTTTTAACTCAGACTTGCAGGGAGTGACAGCTTAGAATGGTATATTGAGGGTAACGTTTTTGGGAACTCAGTGAATGGTTGGACCTACAGTGTTCCTCCTTGACTGATGAGACTTTAAGATTAAGAAAGAAATAGCAGATATAACAGTTAGGTAGAAGATTAGAGTCAGATCAGATCAGAAAGAGAAATATAGAGAGTTAACCAAAGAATGGAATTAAAAAGAAAATAAACAGGAGGGAAAAACAAGAAGAATTTTTGTTTTTAGAAAGCTGACATTTTTTAAAATCTCTTAGATTAATTAATGAATAAAAGTCCAAAGCATAAGTTGTTCAATTTCTGGGCTAGAGACACTGATTAGCACCCACTAATAATAATCAAATCATTAAAAGTGGTTGTTAACACTGTGGTGAGTTTAATAGGCAACTGGTGTGCAAATGCAGCAAGTTCTTCAAATTAAGAAAGATCCTAAAGGTAAATGTCATTTGTGTGACATGTAAATCAATTAGCAAGCTCTGGAAATTTGCAGCTCACATATATTACTTAATTCTCTGAATTTGTTAATTGATTTGCATGTAAATAATGGTGTTAATTGTTAACATATCTTCACTTTCCAAGCTAGACCTGACCTTGCATTTAAACATCAGCTTCTCAGGTACAGGAAAAGAATTAAGCCAATCGGCCCATTGAGTCTGCTCTGCCATTCAATCATAGCTGATATGTTTCTCAACCTCATAACCCTTGATCCCCTTACTAATCAAGAACCTATCAATCTCTGTTTTAAATATACAGAATGACTTTGCATCCACAGCCCTCTGTGGCAATGAGTTTCACAAAGACACTACCCTCTGGCTGAAGAACTTCTTCATCTCAGTTCTAAAGGGTTTTCCCTTCACTCTAATGCTGTGTACCGGGTCCTAGTCACTCTCACTAGTGAAAACATCATCTCCACATCCACTCTATCCAGGCATCTCAGCATCATGCAAGTTTTACTCAAATCCCCTCTCATCCTTCTAAACTCCACTGAGGACAGACCCAGAGTCCTCAACTGCTCTGCATATGACAAGCCCTTCAACCCCACAATCATTCTTGTAAACCTCCTCTAGACGCCCTTCAACACCAGCACATCATTCCTTATACAGAGGCCAAAACTGCCCACAATATTCGAAATACAGTCTGACCAGAGCCTTATACAGCCTCAGCAGTACATCTCTGCTTTTATTTTCTAACCCTCTTGAAATGAATGCACTTGCTTTCCTAATCGCCAACTGAACCTACCCGTTAACTTTATGAGAATCCTGAACTAGTACTCCCAGGTCCCTTTGCGCTTCAGATTTCCAAAGCCTTTCTCAGTTTAGAAATAGCATACCCCTCTGTTCTTGCTACCAAAATGTATAACCTCACAATTTGTCACATTGTATTCCATCTGTCACTTCTTTCCGCACTTACCCAGCACCTCCAGGTCCTTCTGCAGCCGCCACACTACCTGTCCCTCCACCGATCTTTGTGTCATTTGCAAAGCTAGAAACAATGCCCACAGTTCCTTCACCCAGATCCTTAAAAGTATATCATGAGTAGTTGTGCTCCCGACATTGAATGCTGTGGTACTCCAGCTGCCACCCTAAAAAAGACGCCTGTAGCCCTACTCTCTGCCTTCTGCCAGTCAGCCAATCCTCTTTCCATGCTAGTATCTTGCCCCTAACACCATGGGCTCTTATTTAGTAGCCCCCTGTCCAGCACTTGTCAGACCTCTGGAAATTCAAATAAATCACATCCACTGGCTCTCCTTTGTCTAACTTACTCATTACAGAAAGAGTGAAAAAGACCTTTTTCGGTTTCATTCTGTAAAAAGTTGGTGACTGAGTGTGATACCAGCTTTGGTTCTGGTTAGGGAAATGGACTAAGTAGGTAGGGGACAATTTGTGCACATTATTAGAATTCTGGAATGAACTCAGACATTGGATCAGCAGGGCATCCATGTCACTCCCTTTGTTAGGTTCAGCACTCACTAACCAACTCCACAACAGCCCCACCCATCTCCTGTAAAATGTAGAGTATAATTGGTGACCAGTATACATTCTTTCAAAGCAAGGCCACAGCATTATGCCATCTACCTTTTTTCTCCTGCAGATTATTAACAGAAGTAAACGAGAACATCAGCTTTTAGTATACAAAAAGTTAGCTTTCTATGAAGGCAAGAAGTGCCAACCTGGGATATCTCTGAAGCCGTGCCAACTGTTTCAGTTTCTAAGCATCGCTCATCTTTCTTGTTGCAAACCGAATAAATGTCTGGTTGAGAACTGCTGCCAATTTGATATCGGCTGCTGATATATTCCTTAGATTCTAATTTATCTGCTTCTGGTTTCTGATTGCGTTTGTTACCTACTTTTAAATGTTGCAGAGTACCTGAAAAAAATATTAAATAATTTTAAAAGCGCAGCAAGCAATGTTCATCTGTTGCAAGAACAATACCAACCAGCTGGGGACGAAAGGCATGAGCAGGCACACACATGGACAGAAGTTGAGAGCCAACAACATCTGCGGGTGGGAAAGTTATTGGGAGCCAAACTCCAGGTGAAGCTGCAGAAGTAAAAGGTTTGAACTGATACATGCTTTTTCAACTTTATTATCCCATTGCAAGTTAGTTCTGTTACAGCAAATGTAATCAGACATCGGGAAATGTGTGCCACATTGGTATCAGATAAGGCATCACCAAAAGGTCTGAGCTCCTGGACCCTTACAAGATTTGACATTCTGCCTGTCTCCTTTTATTTTCATCAATATTGCAAACTTCCAACAATATTCAGTCCCACAAAACAACCTTTTAAGTCCTTGTGTTCTCCAAGATTTCTCTCCTCTCTGCCATTCTTTGATCTTGCAACTATATGACTGCATTCCCAGTATGCTCCTGATTACATAACTACCTTCAATACCCACCTCAACCTCCATACCCTTGAGAATATTTTACCTGATGCCCCAAGATCTCGCCCCCACCAAAATCAACAACCCAGAAACAATCTTCCAAAAAGGGTCCATCTCCAGTGTTCTTACAAATATGGACTTATCTCAGTGCTACCTTGGGAGCCTACCTCAGAATACTGCTCAACACGATTCTGAATTGCCGACCTAGTATCATCCCATAATGCTTTTAAGTTCAATTCCTTGGCATTTAGATTCCAATTAATATACAGCATGATCCTCACAAACCCAAACAACTAACCATGAAAAATACCGACTTTTGGAAATCTTGGCCTTTACTTTTAATGATGTAAATAGAATTCAATGTGAATTCTAGCTTCTAATACTCAATATCGATCCACCATTGATAGAATGGTACACTGTTCATGGTTCTCAGGATGAGTTTAACAAAAACTATGTAGTTAAGGCCAGAGGTTAAACTTGCATGGGGATCAGATTGTAGCTGGTTTGATGGTTTTCTATTCACAAAACATCCCATGTCTATTGTCGGGAATTAAAACCTGGAACATGGGCTGAAATTTCACAGCCCCCGAGCAATAGGGGCAATGATGACTCAGCTGGGAAATACATGGTGACATCAGAAAACTCTTGATATGAGAAAAATGTCAGATTTTCCATCCAATATTTGAATGACAAGATAGTGATGGCTAGGAAATTGCAAGAGTCCTGTCAGCATACGTTGATGTCTCAGTAATACCCAATCTGCCTCATTTATATGCATTTTGTTGTTCTACTTGGCAGAGAGAAACTAGACAGTGAGAGTTCCTGACATGAAAGTCAGAGTGGGTACCTGACAACTCCAAATTGCTGCTTCTTCCTCTGAGCCTCCCTCTTGGTCAGCAGACTGCAAAGTCTCAAAGTACACTCCATACGTAGTGACAGCCTGCATGCCACCATCCACGGCGAATGGCATTGGAAACGCACTATCCTTACCAGATTTCAGACTAACATTTTGATTATTGATGGTCATCACCACCCAGGGTTCACGGGGGGTGGGGTGGAGGCATCATAAGCCATGCCAGCCACCATATCTGTAGCTGGGCTTAGGGGGTCATGTTGGCAGATGACAATGTAAAACAAAGAGGAGGATGGGATTGCGCAGAAGCTCAGAACTGAGGGGTTCACAGGGAGAGCAAGGATGAAAGAAACATAAAGGGCTGGTGGTGGGTGTCCCTTTGAGTACCAGCTGAGCCTGCAAACTCACTTTGTCTGGCCTTCCATTCTCATTTGAATTGTAAATGCAGAACGGAAGTGAAATAAATGGCTGCAATCCCACCTGGGGGTGAACAGGAGTAATTTTCTTTTCCCTCTCTGTCTGAACATGTGGACTCTACCAGTGAGCAATGAGAGGCCTCTCATTGCATCAATCAGACACATCATCAAGGTCAAAGTCATCTGTAATCATTGTATTCAATTCACATGTAGGATGATCAACTGTGTCTTGTGGCACAGCTAGGAGGCCCAGGTTCAAGTTCCAACTGCTCCAGCAGTGTGACATAACATCTCTGAACAGGTTGATTAGAAAATATCTATAAATTCTGGTCAGAAGCAATCATGACCTTGTAATTGATCATTATAGATTGATCATGGTCATCTCTGTGAAGCAGAAGTAATCACAGAGGCCGTTAAAATGATCACATAACTCACAAAGACAATCACAAGGTCACGGGGCTGATTTCCTGTGTGCCCCATTGTTTGGAGATGTTATTTTTGTGCTTGATGTGAATACTGATCATTTATATTTCTAAAAACTGTTCTGCTTTGAAAATTTCCCAAATGGATTCATTGGAACCACGATCAATAGCTACAGCAAGGGTTTTGTCTCTGTAGCAGTGGTACTATGAAAGCAGAAAGAAATGGAGAAGAAACAAAAGCATTAACAGGCCAGGACCAGCAGCAATTTCCAGCAACTGTGGGACAGCCTTCATTCACATGAAGAAATCACAGCTGAAGGTCCCCTCAGGATGCAGAGGAGCAACAGGAGGCCAAAAGTCTACTATCCTTGATGTAATAGCCTCCAGATGAAAGTGGTGCATTGTCTCTAGACTAAGGATGTCCCACCATCACAGTACTGTGTCATCTACTAGAGCAGGAATTGAAACTTGAAGGGATGGTTGACAATCCTATCCCAGTAGCTGTTCAGATGACAGCTGTGCTTTCTTTAATGCGACTGTCTGTTTCAGTGGTCCTGTGCAGATCCAGCCACATCAGGGGTTATCGTCGCTGTTACTGCAGCACAACGAAGGCACTAAAAAACGGAGGATGCAGCAGGGAGCTCAGGACCAGCTGCAACCTCTGGCATATGCCATACAGCTACACATGAAGTCCCAGCTGAAAGTGCCCCCAGGATGGAAAGAAGATACATGAGGCCCAGAATCTATCATTCTCTGTGCGATTGTCTCCAGATGGCTTAGGTACAGTGTCAGCACAGACACAGGATGTCCTTGGTCACTATCACAGAACCATACCAACTGCTCGGGCGGGACTAGCAACCTGAAGCCATCACAGTGACAGCTGTATGAATATTTTATGCAACTGGCTGCTTTGCAGGAACCACTAGGTCCCTTTGTAGGATCTCTTAACCCATAAATGTATCAAGGCTGTTACTGATGCAAGTTTGTGACCAGTCTCACCACTTCATCTTGCTTCCTAGTTACAAAGTCAATCCTGCAGCCCAGGCAGTAGACTTTGCCAATAGAGCTGACTTCTCCCAGGCGCAGGGCATGGTACAAATTTACATATCAGATTTGAAGGGTCATATCATAATCTGGCTGACTTCATGAACAGAAAATTACTCCAGTCCATCAATGTACAAGTTGTCTGTACTACGTCCTAGAAACCTACACCATGTATCGTTACTTTTACAATGGTGCCTGTAACCTTGAGAACTCTCATGTCCTACTTCACTTAAAGGGCTGAATGCCCTACAAAGGAAGTTTAATAGGAGACAAGGGCTAACGTTTATTACTATAGCTGGTAACTCCATTACACAACCTCCTGACCAAGGCCAAGTAAAGATACAATGCAGCCCATTCTTCCATCAGGGACATCATGGAGTGCACAAAAAGATCCAAGAAGAGGAGGTTCTGTTGCTTGCCTTGTTCTGGGTTGGAATCATGCAAGACATTCCAGATGGAATATACTACAAATATCACTGCATGCTGTGCCATGCATAACTTAAGCAGGCAAATACCAAGCTAATGCAATTTTTATTTAAGAACAGAGCTAAAGAGAACCAGATTAGGCTCCAAGTCCTGGTCATTAGGGAAGGGAATGGGGAGCAGGGCCAAGCTAAGGAGTTGTGTTTACCTAATACTTAACCACTCCTTCAGTCATTCCCCGATGCTGGGGAGGCTTGCCTTGTGATGACACCAAGGATCAGTATGGGTGTCTGGGCAGGCAGCAAATCCTTTCAATCCACCAACTGGAGTGCCTTGATTGCAAACGGCCAATCAGGGGCACTGCAAGGTGAACCAATCAGGGTTATGAAAACCTGCTCAATGCTAACGTGTTTAGGGATGGAGGAAAGGAACTTGGGAAAGAAAAGTTCCACAGCTGAGGTCACCCCCTTTCCCATCTCTCTCACCCTCCACAATACCCTGACAACCCACTCTCACCTCCTTCAAAACTCTCCACTTGCGGAACGACTCTCAAACCAACCCTCTTACCCCGGTCCTGCCCCACCATTCCTCCATATGATGTTAGTTTCCACGTGTACACTGACGACACTCAGCTCAACCTTAGCACCACCTCTCTTGATTCTTCCACTGTTGCTAAACCATCAGACTGCTTATCCAACATTCAGTACCACATGAGCAGATCCCTGCTCAGTTCCCTAACTATACATTCTATCCCACTCCCCAGCAACAGCCTGAGATCAAGACAGACAGTTTGCAACCTTGGTGTCATATGTGACCCAAGATGAGCTTCTGACCTCATATTCATGCCATCGCTAAGTCCACTCATTTCTGTCTCTGTAACATTGCCTGTTTTTGTCCCTGTCTCAGCCCCACTACTGCTGAAACCCTCAATCAGGGTTTTGTTGCCTCTATGCTCAACTATTTCAATGCACTTTTAGCTAACATTCTCTCTAAACTGTGTTCTGCTCCAAAGTTCCATGCATGGCAATCAGCGCTGGTTCTGGAAGTCACTGCTGCACACGGACCTCACAGGGCTGCGCAGTTAGAACGAAAATTAGACGAAACATTGCTCCTGGCTCATCACCTACATTTCGCTCTCTGTAAACTTGAGGTCATTCAAACCTTTGCTGGCCTTCTTTGTCTTTACTCACAGCAAGTCCTGTGCTGACCCACTTGTATTGGCTCCTAGTCAAACAGCATCTTGATCGAAACATTTCATCTTCATTTTCGAATCCCTCCATGGCCTTGCCACTCCCTATCTTTGTAATTTCCTCCAGCCTCGTAACCCTCCAAAACATCTGTGCTTTTCTAATTCTGGTCCCTCAGACTTCTCCAATTTTAATTGCTCCACCATTGAGGAGGAAATTCTTTTCTCAGAGGGTAATGAATCTGTGAAATTCTGATGAAGGCGGGTCATCAGGCATGAAACATTGAGTCTCCTTTCTCTCCACTGATGCTGACAGATCTGCTGAGTTTCTCCAGCAATTTCATTTTTTGTTTGAAATTCTTTACTTCAGAGGGCTTTTGAAGGTGGGTCATTAAGTGTATTCAAGGCTGAGATTGATTGAAAATCAGTCTATTAATCTAGGGTTATATGAAAATAGCAGGAAAGTGGAATTGCAGATTATCAGATCAGCCATGATCTCACTGAATGGCAGAAAAGACTCAATGGATTGAATGAGAAAGCAAGAACTGCAGATGCTAGAGGCAGAGATAACAAAGTGTGGAGCTGGAGGAACACAGCAAGCCAGGCAGCATCAAAGGAACAGGGTTGAATGACTCTACTTTTGCTCCTACATCTTATGTTCGAGCCTTTAATTACTTAGGATCTAAACTCTGGAATATCCTCCTTAAATCTCTCTATCTTGCTTTCCTCTTAAAAACTAATTCTCTGAGCCCAGTGTTTTGGACATCTCTCAATATTTCCTTTTGTGGCTCGGTGTCATAATTCGTTTTATAATATTCCTGTGAAGCACCTTAGAACACTTCTTTAGCTTAAAGATGCCCTACAGATGTAAGTTGCTGTGAAAAGCATGTTACTTTTTCAACAATACACTAATGAAACTGAGTATCTGTGACAATGGCATTGTTTTACTTCTAGTGATTGATGGTCAATTGGAAGTTGATAGATGCACCCGCAGGGAAGCATACCATTGATCCTAGGTGATCTGAAGGCAGATCTTAAGGCAGAAGTATGGAAAGAGCCCCAGGATACTTTATGCAGCACGACTCACATTCAAACTGATGCTGTGTGTGAGACAGGACTGGAGAAAGTAATTCCTGTCCATATAGCTGACGCCAGAATTTGGCAACTATTCTTATATTAATACAAAGCATGAAAAATAAATAAAAAAAAGGGTTACCTTTTGCATAGCAAGGCTCAGGGTCATCATGGTGGTTCTGTTCTGTCTTAGAATGACAAGCCCTTCCACTTGCATTACTGCTGCCACTTGTGGAATCCGGAGAACTGTTTTTGGTAGAGGGGAATATTTTAATAATGACAGCAAGGTTTGGAACCAATCTTAGACCTAGAGAGGAACAGGAGTGGGCGACTCAGTCCTTTGAGCCTGTTTCACCATTCAAATAGATCATGCACAATCAGTATCTTAAGTCTTATTTATCCACCGTAGTTCCACAATTACGCCTTAATACACACATTTATGACTACAATGATCCACATCTCTTTACCACACGAGATCAACCATGCATCAATGAGGCTTGCATTTGGCCCGATTTCTACCCAGTCACATTACCAGAAATTAAGTTGAAATTAAGTAACCAACCAATTAGAGTGAGATTCCTGCTGGGGAAGAAATGAAATAAAATTTAAAATATGCTTCATATGGGCATATAACCCTCTACTGTAGTTCCTGATGTTGCACAACAGTAATGAGCAGCTTGAACTTCAATGCTTCAATAAAATATCCACAGTATCTGTTTAATTATTAAAATCCCAGTCTGCTTGTTCTGAACAAGCCCCAACTGTTTAACTGATAATAAATTACCCCTTAAGTGTCATCTCCATTTTGCCTCTGACAATGTAATAGTGACTACATGTCAGAAGTGCATTTTAATTAATGGTAAATGACCTTTGGGACATCCTTGGATCAAAAAGGCAATATATAAATGCAAGCTCTTCCTTTCCAATGTGGCAGCCAACATGGACAAAACAAGATCCTGCAAACAGCAATGAGGCAAAAGGTCTGGAGATCTCATTTTTTAAACTGGGTTTATTTCAGGATAAATACTGATTAGGACACCAGTAGATATTCTCCAGCTCTTCTTCGAATGGTATAATGGGATATCTTATGTCCACCTCAAAAAACAGATTGATCTTCCAATTAATATGTTGTCTGAAAGATGGCACCTCTGCAAGTGCGGCAATTCCTTAATAATGCACTGAGCTAAGATAAAGTGCGCAAGTCCTAGAGTGGTAGCCAAACTCTTGACGTTTAGCTGAGAGGGCTACCACTATGCCAAGGCTCGGATTTTAGGTTATACTTTGTCTGTTTTACTGCAGATTTAGGATGATAAAAAAAAAGTAAAATGGGTCCTTAGAGGCTAGCTTATCAAACAGAAAAGACTACACTTGAATTATGTTCTGAACAAAAATCGACAGACTATTCCAAGAGCAGCCAAGAGACTTATCCATCCAACGTAAATAGCATTAAGAGGATGTGGTTAACTTTCATGAACCATTCCCACCAAAGTCCATCTGAAACCAGCTACAAATGTTCACTATAGTGGTAGTAGAAGCTACAGGAATGCATTACAGAGGAAATACCAGATTAAGGCAACTATACTGCTGTCAGAAGCTTTGTGTAAATTTGCTGGTAAGTCAATCTCTTTCATACTTAGCAAGCATAGGAATTTTGCTATCAGAGATAGTAGGAACTGCCGATGCTAGAGAATCTGAGATAACAAGGTGTGTTATTCAGAAATGGGGGAGGGGAAGGGGATTCTGAAATAAATAGAGGGAGGGAGAAGCGGATGGAAGATGGATAAAGGAGCAGATAGGTGGAGAGGAGACAGACAGGTCAAGGAGGTGGGGATGGAGCCAGTAAAGGTGAGTGTAGGTGGGGAGGTAGGGTGGGGATAGGTCAGTCCAGGGAAGACGGACAGGTCAAGGAGGCGGGATGAGACTGGTAGGTAGGAGGTGGGAGGAATGGATAGGCGGGAGAAAGGACGGACAGGTTAGGGAGGCAGGGACGAGCTGGGCTGGTTTTGGAATGCGGTCGGGGGTGGGGAGATTTTGAAGCTTGTGAAGTCCACATTGATACCGTTGGGCTGCAGGGTTCCCAAGCAAAATATGAGGTGCTGTTCCTTCAACCTGCAGGTGGCATTGTTGTGGCACTGCAGGAAGCCCAGGATGGACATGTCGTCCAAGGAGTGGGAGGGGGAGTTGAAGTGGTTTGCAACTGGGAGGTGCAGTCGTTTGTCGCGGACCGAGAGTAGGTGTTCCACAAAGCGGTCTCCAAGCCTCAGCTTGGTTTCCCCGATGTAGAGGAGGCCACATCTTCACCATGGATGTCCAGTCCCTATATACTTGCATTCCCCATGCAGATGGTCTAAAGGCCCTCCGCTTCTTCTTGTCCTGTAGGCCCGACCAGTCCCCCTCCACTGACACCCTTGTCCGCTTAGCTGAACTCGTCCTCACCCTTAACAACTTCTCCTTCAATTCCTCCCACTTCCTACAGACAAAGGGGGTGGCCATGGGTACCCGCATGGGCCCAAGCTATGCCTGCCTCTTTGTAGGATACGTGGAACAATTCCTCTTCCTTACCTACACTGGTCCTATCCCCCACCTCTTCCTCCGTTATATCGATGACTGTATCGGCGCCGCCTCGTGCTCCCAAAAGGAGCACGAAATCCACTTTACTAACACCTTCCACCCCAATCTTAAGTTCACCTGGACCATCTCCGATACCTCTCTCTTCTTCCTGGACCTCTCTGTTTCCATCTCTGGCAACCACTTGGAAACCGATATCCATTTCAAACCCACCGACTCGTACAGCTGCCTAGAGTACACCTCCTCTCACCCACCTTCCTGCAAAAATGCCATCCCCGATTTCCAATTCCTTCGCCTCGGCCGCATCTGCTTCCGAGATGAGGCATTCCACTCCCCGACATCCCAGATGTCCTCGTTTTTCAAGGACCGCAACTTCCCCTCCACAGTGGTCGAAAACGCCCTCGACTGTGTCTCTCGCATTTCCCGCTACTCATCCCTCACACCCCCTCCCCACAATAACAACCAAAACAGAATCCCCCTCGTCCTCATGTACCACCCCACCAACCTCCGGATCCAACGCATCATCCTCCGACACTTCTGCTATCTGCAATCCGACCCCACCACCAAAGATATTTTTCCCTCCCCACCCTTATCTGCTTTCCGGAGGGACCTCTCTCTCCATGACTCCCTTGTCCACTCCGCACTCCCCACCAGCCCCACCACACCCGGCACTTTTCCCTGCAACCGGAGGAAGTTCTACACCTGCCCCAACACCTCCCCCCTCACCCCCATCCCAGGCCCTAAGGAAACCTTCCACATCAAACAGATGTTCACCTGGTTATCTGCTAATATGGTATACTGTATTCGATGTTCCCAATGTGGCCTCCTCTACATCGGAGAAATCAAGCGGAGACTTGGAGACCGCTTTGTAGAACACCTACGCTTGGTTCGTGACAAACGACTGCACCTCCCAGTCGCGAACCATTTCAACTCCCTCTCCCACTCCTTGGACGACATGTCCATGCCAGGCCTCCTCCAGTGCCACAATGATGCCACCCGAAGGTTGCACGAACAGCACCTCATATTTCGCTTGGGAACCCTGCAGCCCAACAGTATCAATGTGAAATTCACAAGCTTCAAAATCTCCCCACCCCGACCACATTCCAAAACCAGCCCAGCTCCTCCCCGCCTCCCTAGCCTGTCTGTCCTTTCTCCCACCTATCCACTCCTCCCACCTCAACCCCCACCCCCACCTCCTACCTACCAGCCTCACCCCACCTCCTTGACCTGTTCATCTTCCCTCGACCGACCTATCCCCACCCTGACTCCCCACCTACACTCACCTATACAGGTTCCATCCCCGCCTCCTTGACCTGTCCGTCTCCTCTCCACCTATCTGCTCCTTTATCTATCTTCCATCCCCATCCCCCTCCCCCTCTCTCTCTATTATTTCAGAATCCCCTTCCCCTCCCCCATTTCTGAAGCAGGATCCAGACTCGAAACGTCAGCTTTCCTGCTCCTCTGATGCTGCTTGGCCTGCTGTGTTCATCCAGCTCTATACCTTGATATCTCAGGAATTTTGCTGATGCTCTTACTTAATTCTATTCATAGGACTCTTAGAATATAGCTTTAGAAAAACTCCCTGGCAGGGTTAGTCTTTATAGCAAGTAGGACTATGGAGATATTTATTTAGTTTTTTTCTGACCTGTAGTACCTCAAAGGACATTGCTTCCTGCCAAAAGCTGAACAATTCTGAAAATACATTAATAGCTAGCTAAAGATCTGTAGCCTACTTCTACCATGGGAACAATAATCAAGGTCATCGCTGCTTGGAATTTCTTTTTCATCCTATCAGGCATGATGTGTGACCTTTGTCACATGACAGCTTTTTACCATTTCATCAAAAAGTCATAAATACAACAGTAAAGTTTTCATAATCCATATTCTTCCTGTTGAAGGCACGCTCAAATAGAAAGCTTTCCAGTTCTATTGACATGAAGTGTTCTCAAAGGTTTAAAGAACAATTGACAGAACATGTTAAAGTGACATGCCATAACCCATCATATCTTTTAGTCGGAAAGGTGTCCCTCACATTTATGCCCACAATGATGTGCAATATCAATTCATCAATGCTAGGTATCCAGAAAAATGGGATGGTGCTTTTATTGTGCAACATTCCAACAAAACAGTCATCATAGCCAAGAACCACATCTTCTATGAGGGGTGGTGATATAATGTGTTCCCAGCTTCTTGCGTCTCAAGGAACAAACTAAAGAAATTGTTGATGCCTATATTAATCTGATGGAACCCCGCTAAACAGTCCAGTGAAAATCCCAAGAAGCATTGTGGTTTACAGGGCTCTCGGCAGTTTCAAAATTAAGAATGTTTGCTGCTTCTAGAAGCTGGAAATGATGCTGCTAAAGAGAAGTTGGAGAGTTCTTCTTCCTCACAGCATGAGGAAGGTTCTCTGTAGGAAAGGCTGTGGGGTAATACTGAAAAATAGGGGCACACAACAAACAGCCTAGTCCTTTCAATAAAGATGGAATCACCAACTTAAGTTGCTTCAACCTGGTTTATTCACCCTTCCACAACACCCCATCACACTCTAGCAAAAGCATTCTCAAAAATATCTCTTACTGTTGATTCATTTTAGCAAGTTCCTTCTTCAGGCAGAAGGATATACTTCCTTCCTCTGCCATCACGCAAACCCCCATATAAGCAAAGAAATGATGTCAGGATTCTGTTCAACAAGCAAGTATTTGTGGGTTTGACACAATGATTTAAAAATGCACTTGACTGAAAACATGAGATTACAATGACTACACTTCATAAGTATAACTGTAAATGCTGTGGGATCTACCATTGTCATGAGAGGAGCTATATTCATGTGCCAATATGCTTCAATTAAAAGAGAGTGCAATACCTTCCTCTCGACTCGTTTTTTCTGGGTCTTTTGTTTAAAGCAGCTAACAATATGGAGTTCTTCTTTTCTAACCTAGAAATAAAAGCATTCCTTTTAGTTTATCTTTTTCAGGTGGTGTGTGAAGTGTATTTTCCAATCCTCTAGATCCTCATCTCTTCATCAACAAAGTAAATAATTCACTTTTGCCTAATATTTTAAAATATAAAATTCAGAGATAAAATGGTAGATTTCACTGTTAAGGCACATGGAAGTAAAGGATTACCTTAGGTCACTGTGAAAAATCAAGTGATCGTAAGTGCATATGATTAACAGCTTGTATGATTTTACATCCATTTGAATGAATGGGCTGAATATTTCAGAGATACTGTTGTTAACAAGTAATCTTACCCATCCAGTCTTCATCTATGTACTGAAACCTGAACCTGGACAAATTCCCCCATTAATAAAAATAAAGTCTACTCCACTATTTCTGATGTGGCAGAATATTCCTTTTGTCCTCCCGTCCCCAACTGTCAGCCACAGTGAATCAATGAAAATTGGGTTTAGTTATTAACACACAAGTCCTTCTGCTCAGTCCTTCTTCTCAGACATGGATCATTTTCAGAACAGATGTCTGTACACATTAGGATCAAAATGAGTCAACCACATTGCTGACCTAGAGTCAGGCCAGGTAAGCATGGCAGATTTCCCTTCCTAAAGTGAACCCAGTGGGGTTTTAAAATAATTGATGACAGTTTTATTCTCACCATTACTGAGATTAGCTTTCAATTCCAGGTTTATTAATTGAATTCAAATGCTATCAGTTTCAGGGCACTTGCCTGGATCTCTCAGTCCAGTGAAACTCGCTCTTGTATCTTCAATTAAAATATTATTACAGTTAACATCAACTGTTTGGGATTATCTTTCTTGTTTATTTTTGTGAATATGTTTGACCTCATTCATGTGTGTCTCAAAATTCCATACGTAGAAGGAACAGGAGGAGGCCATTCAGCCCCAGAGGCCTGCTCTGCCATTCAATTGGATCATGGCTGATCCGAAATTCCTCACGTCCACTTTCCCTGGAACCTTCGATTCCCCTATTGATCAAGAATCAATGTCAGCCTTAAACATACACTGGGACTCTGCCCTAAAGCCCTCTGTGGCAAGGAGTTCCAAAGACTCAATACCCTCAGAGAGAAGAAATTCTGCTTCATCGGTCTTAAATGGGCACCCCTTAATTCTGATACTATGCTCTCTGGTCTTAGACTCTCCCATGAGAAGAAACATTCTCTCAGCATTTACCCTGTCAAGCCACTTAAGAATCCTATATGTTTCAATGAGATCACCTCTCATTCTTCTGAACTCCAGTGACTAGAGTCCAAACCTGTTTAACCTTTCCTTGTAATACAATCCCTACATACAAGGGATCATCCTAATGAACCTTCTCTGAAATGCCTCCAATAAATCAATATTTTTCCTTAAATAAGGAGATCAAAACTGCTCAGTACTTCAGATGTGGTCTAACCGCTCCTTGTACAATTGCAGTAAAGCTTCCCTACTCTTAGACTCCAACTCTCTTGAAATAAAAGATTAACATGCCTTTAGCCTTCCTGATTACCTGCTGCACCTGGGTGCTAGCTTTCTGGATTTTAAGCACAAGTATCTCAGAAACCCTTTGCATTGCAGCTTTCTGCAGTTTTTCTCCATTTAAATAATAGTCTGGTCTCTTGTTCTCCCTTCCAAAATGAACAACTTCACGTTTTTCCACATTACAGTCCATGTCATTTTTTGCCCACTTACTTAACCTAATATCTCTTTGTGAAACTATTTGTTGGATGAGAGGGGCAGGGGTCATAACAATCTATCATAGGGAAAATGTTAGAAGCTGTTCGTAAAAACATTATGATAAAGCACTTGGAGAAGTTCAAGTTAAGAAGGCAGAGCCAACATGATTTTGTCAAAAGGAAATCATGTTCAACTAACCTATTGGAGCTCTTTGAAGAAGTAACTTGTGCTGTAGATAAAGGGGAACCAGTTGATGCATTTACATTTCCAGAAAGCATTTGATAAAGATGCCACATCAACGGTTGTTGTGGAAAATTAAAGATCATGGTGTAGGGGTTAACATATTCGCATGGATTGAAGACTGGCCGCTAAATTAACTGATGCCACAAAGATAGATATGAAGGTGAGTTTAGAAGCCTTATGAAGCCTCCAAAGGGATATAGATATGTTAAGTGAGGGGGAAAAGATCTGATAAATGGGATATAATGTGGAAAAGTGTGGAATTATCCATATTGGCAGAAAGAATGAAAAAGAAGCATATTATCTAATTGGTCTGAGGTTGCAGATCCCTGAGATGCAGAGAGATCTGGGTGTTCTAGTTCTAGCATCACAGACAGTATGTAGGTACAGCAAGTGATCAAGAAAGCAAATAGAATGTTACAGTTTATTGCGAGGGGAACTGAATACAAAAGCAAGGAGTTTATGTTTCAGTTGTACAGGACATTGGTGAGACTGCACTTGGCAAACTGTATACAATATTGATCACCATTCCTACAGAATGGCAAAATTTGTTGGAAGCAGTTCAGAAAAAGTTTTCTAGACTAATATTGGAATGAGCGATAGCTTTATGAGGAAAGGCTAGACAGGCTAAGCCTGTATCCTCTGGAGTTTAGAAGAGTCAGAGGTGACTTAATTAAAACATAAAAGATCCTCAGAGGACTTGTTGAAAGCACGTTTCCTCTTGTGGGGGAATCTAGAACAACGGGTGACAGTTTAAAAATAAGGTCTGTCTATTTAACACAGGGGTGAAGAAATATTTTTTTCTCTGAGAAGGTTGAGAGTATTTGCAATTCCCTTCCTCAAAAGGCAGTGGATACAAAATCTTTAAATATTTTTGAGATAGAGGTAGAAAAATAATGATTACCAAGTGGGTGAAAGATTATTGGGGGTATGCAGGCACGAAGAGTTGATGTTAAAATCAAATCAGCCATGACCTTGTTGAGTGGCAGAGCAGGTTTGAAGGGCTGAGTGGTCTACTCTCATTCCTTGTTCGTATAACAGGACATGGATGGGGAATGTGTGGGTGGTGAGGGGTGAGTTCTAGAGGGAGTTCTGTTTATTATTGCTGCTGACACAAAGTCTCACACCACCAAGCCAGGCTTTTTAAAAAGCCCACCTTCACAGACAGCCATTCTGTGATCACCTGACCATTTTCTGGGGTCAGCTGTCCTGATTTCAGCCAGCACCTGACCCCCAGAAATGGGGTGGACGCTCGAGGCTGGGAACTTTCCCAATTCCTGCTATGCACTTTGAGCATGAAGGTCCAGCCCATACCCTCTAAATTTAGGCAATAAAGATCTGAAAAATTCATGAAACTGCAAATAACACTTGCAAAAGTATTAAAGACTTTAATGATTAAATTTTATCTCAATAAAAACAAGCACATGATCCACCCGTCTCCTTTCTATGATTGTCATGATCTAAGCAGATTTCTGATTGCTACTACTATTGCATGCAGATTTGCTACAATATGCTTTACCTCAAAATATGCAAATTATTCATCTGAAGTCTTTGGTCAGCAAATTGGATTATTTTGTTGAAGCCATTAACCTGTTGAAAATTAACAGCAATGAAGTCAGCTGATTTAATAATGTACTCAAAACCCAAATGGTGGAAAACTACTACTAATATTTCAATCATTCAATCAGTGATTAAAAGAATCTAATCAGTCCTGAACAATCCAATGGTCATCTTGAGCTCAATGTGCTCATGAGTAGATGGTTTTGGACTTAATTATTGTCTTCCTGTAACTCCTCCATCTAACAAAAGACAACATAATTATAATCAATTACTAAAACAAATAGTTCATCAGCCCCAGAGACAAAGGGCAAATTGGAGGTTCTCAGGTTATGATATCACCATTACTTCACCATTATAGGGGGGCAATGGCAATTTGAGGGGGTGGGTGGGGGAGAATGAGTGGGTGCCTCCAGATCGCAAGGAATTTTTAATAATGTCATTAATAGAAGAGGTCACGGTTGCTAGGCTGTCAACAAAGAGAGGCAACTCCTCCACCGATGGCCTATGGTGGTAGCTGCATATTGATAGGTGCCATACAAATGGTGATTCCCTTAGGTGGATGACAATGCTTCCCATTTCCCACCCATTTCATCAGTCAGCTGCCAGGAGGTCACCGCCAATACCTCCAAACCCTGGTTGTGTTCCAGCTTCAATTGGTGTGCAAATGGGTGAATGGCTGGGTCGGTGCTGATAGTGCAGGGGCGGGGGGATGGAGTTTATTTACAAGCTAGTGGCTATCATCACGCACCCCACCAATCGTCCAAGAATGAGGATGGTCCTGGATCGAGACCATAGCAGGAGAGCAGAACTCTAGCCAATGACCAAAAAGTTAAGGCCTATGCACTTCAGTCCCATCTCATCTGAAAAATTCATGCCCCTTTCTTCTATATCTTGTCCCTATAAGTGCATGCATGTTGCAGTGCACAATATGAAGGAACTGGAGACACGCTACTAAACACTTAATGTGACTAAAACGAGAATTATCTATTTCTAGGGCCGACACTCCTCTTGCCATTCAAAAGTTATGAGGTTCTTTGACATGGGCTTCGCAGGCTGGCCAACATTTATTGCCTGTCCCTATTTGCACGTGTAAAAATAGCAGTGAGCTGCGTTCTTGAACTGCTGCAGCCTATGTGCTGGAGGTTGAATTACAATGTGCTTAGGGAGGGAATTTGATGCAGTGCTAGTTAAGGAACGGGGATACAGTTTTAAGTCGGGATGGTGAGTGATTTGGAGGGGAATCTGAAGGGGGTGGTGTTCCCATGTATCTGCTGCTCTTGTCCTTCTAGATGCAAGTGGTCATGGTTTTGGAAGGTGCTGTCTAAGGATATTTGACAATTTTCTGCAGCGCATCTTGTAGATAGTACTCACTGCTGCTACTAAACATTAGTGGTGGAGAGATTGGATGCTTGTGGAAGTGGTGCCAATCAAGCAGGCTCTTTTGTCCTGGATAGTGTCAAACATCTTGTTGTTGGAGCTGCAACCATCCAGGCAAGTGGGAAGAGTTCCTGATTTATGCCTTATAGATGACGGACAGGGTCTGGGGAGTCAGAAAGTGAGTTATTTGCCACAGTATTCCCAGCCTCTGACCTGCTCTGTGCCACTGTGTTTAAATGACGAGTGGTGAGTCCAGTTGAGTTTCTGGTCAATGGTAATCCCCAGGATGTTGATAATGGGGGGATTCAGTAATGATAACACCATTGAATGTCAAGGGGTAGTGGTTAAATTATCTCTTATTGCTTGGCATTTGTACGGCACGAATTTACTTGCCAGCCCAAGCCTGGATATTGTCCAGACCTTGTTTCTTCAGTATCCGAGGACTCATGAATGGCACTTAACGTTGTGCAATTATCGGCGAAGATCCCCACTTCTGACCTTATGATGGAAGTACTGGTTTTCCTTATTTGTAATTTGGTCAAAAGCAAGTTCCAAAATTATCTTTATTGGGAAATTAAGTGCAGGAAGGATGTCAGCAACTAGGAAATGCGGAGACACTAACTCCTTCTTAGGTTGTTGTTGTAAATCAACTGCATGAACATAGCAATGGTATAAATATCTACTAAATTAGGTCCACAATATTAATTTAGAACCTTGATGAATGCAATCTACTGTTTGGATTACAGCTCAGTGGGCCCGATACGGAAAATACTCTGCAAGAAATTCAACATAAGCATGCAAATACAATTTCTCCCACCTCGTTTTTTTAATAGGTAATTCATTAAGTATTTAATATATACCTTTTCTAAAAACAATATAAAGCTACTTACCAAATTTTAAAGGACAAGCCCTTAAAGAGACACTGTGACACAATTCAAAACTTAACATATAAAATAAAAATGTCATTTTGGGAAAAGATGATGGAATCAAGCACTTGTGGCACCCACTGGCCATGGGAGAGGACCTATCATGTGGAACGAATAACTTTGTATAGATATTCACACAGACACACACACACACACACACACACACACACACACACAAAAACATAAGTTTGGTTAACAAATGCATCTAAACATTTAATACCTTGCATGTGAGTTCTTTAACACATTTGTGAAGTTTTACATTTTCTGCTGCAAGCATCTTACATTCTTCGTTCTTCTTCACAATACGTTTCTGCACTGTTTCATTCTAAAATGTAATTGCAATTAAATAAGTGAACAGTAAATGATCATTAGGATCCTCATAATGCCTCACACAAACATTCCAGGCAGAAGTAATTTAATGATAAATGCACAACAGAAACAACACAAACACTTTCTTCTAGAAAAATAAACAGGAACTAGAGAAACTAGAAATATGAGACAAAACAGAAGGTTAAATGTTAAAAGGTTAAAATGGTAAGTAGAATATATATATCATGGAGTAGGTGGACAGGAGATGAACAAAGAGTAGGAAAGTATATACCAGACAGTGATATGGAAAATTATAAGAATGGAAATAAAGAAATTCTTTCAAAAAGGGCAGTCAAAATACATTTTAAGAAATTATAAATTATACATCTTGGTTATGTGTTTCTGACAAAGAACCATGTCCACAGGAATTACAGATTGGAAAATTACGCACATACAGGCATAAAATTAATTGATATAAAATTAATTAATTTACGCCTCTACTAAGAGTGTCAAGGAAGGAAATATACTCTTACATTCTTATTTCTCTAATACATCACTAACCTTGCTATTTTTGTGAGAAGATGTAGAATTGCCTAAAGATTCTCTCACTTTTGGGTCAATTGCTGCACATTCCTGAAACAGAACAAATCTTTATCAAATGTTTCTCCCTTTTTAATGTGCGGTGCTTGTCAGTAGATCAGAGCTACTTTCCCCTTAGCTAATCAACAACTATACAATACATAGTAACAAATGGGAAATTATTGTAAGTACTTAAACACACTCACAATCAATTCTTATCATTGGTATTTTAATGTAGCTGACAGTCTTTTTTAAAAAGGATAACAATCTTCATTAAAATACCAGAGAAAGCATTTCATATGCATGATTTAAGTCTTTGCAAAATAAGTGATATTGCTGCAGCCAAAACTAGTAGACTTCACCATTGACATTTTTGACATTTTGTGGCTGGCTACACCATTATGGCATCTGCATTGTACAAGGTCAAATAGGGAAGTGAACAATTAATCACTAAAACCCAATAAATAGAGATAAAAATTGACGCTCAGTTAAGTTCTTACAAATACATTCTCCATTCAAAGGAATAGGATTTGCTTTTTTAAGATTGTTTATCTCAGTAGCAAAGTGCCTCAGTGGTTAGCACTGCTACCTCACTGCACCTTGAACCCAGGTTTGATTCCACCATCGGGCGACTGTCAGTGTGGAGTTTGCACATTCTCCCTGTGTCTACGTGGGTTTCCTCCCAAGGTGTACAAGTCAGGTGGATTGACCATGCTAAATTGTCCATAGCGTCCAGGGATGTGCAGGCTGGGTGGATTAGCCATAGGAAGTGCGGGGTTGCGGGACTAGTGTTGCGGGCGTGGGTGTGGGTGGGATGCTCTTCAGAGGGTCGGTGTGGACTGGATGGGCCTCCTTCCATGCTATAAGGATTCTATGATTCTACGATCAGTTTATCAAGCCTCATATACTAAAACAGTCTGCACTAACATGTGCCAAATATCAATTCACCTCTTGTTTTGAATGTTTCCTTTTATTGCTCGCTGCAGGCATTTTTTCTTTCAAATCCGTGATTCTTTTATCATCAATGTCCTCATCTGGCGGCATATCATTAGAACAGCTGTTGGATTCCTAGAACAGAATTACATTTTACACGTTAACACACCTTTACCTGACAGTGCGGATAAACTACCCTAAGGAGATATTATAGTTTTTAATTTCATTTTGTTAAAAAGCTGCTGTATATATCTTGTATACTTCCTTTCATGCCTGCTTCACTTATTCCAACAGCTTTTCCCTCATTGCAAGGGACAAATTTTGGGTCGTTACTGAGTTATTTGTGCCTCAAAACAGGGTTATAACAGGACCAAATTATATAGGAATAGAGGCATTATTATCTTATAGGAGACCTTTTTATCCAGGCATTGAAACTTTCGGATAGACTGATTCTGACTGCTGCAGCTTCTGCTAAAGACAGCCGAGTTTCATGAATAATGTAAATTAAAGTCAACTGACAACAGTCATGGAGTCTAATGTCACTTATCACTCTGACACTTCTGTTACAACTAGTTCTTGCCCCTGGCCATGTATGAGCAATAAGAATTTAGGAAGCAGGTATTTGATTGCAATTTAACATGGGTGCTTAGCTCCTTTTAGCTGGAAGCACTCATCTTTCTTGCAATTGTTGAAAATTTACTCCAGTAATAGCTTCCAATGTTTAACCTCCACTGGTGCTACATTAACTTTTCGTTCCCACTGTAAACACCTGTTCACTTTCTCTATTGATGTTTACATCCTTCTTTCCTTTTAAAGGTATAGGTTCATCAGAATCAGTCTCATCACTCTATTTTATGCCATAGATCAGGCAGCTACATAAAAAAGGAAGATATTTCAACCTAACGGTTCACTTTATTCTAATAAGGCTCAAACATGAAAATGGGTCAGACTCAACTATCCATTAAACTCCAATATACCTTTGTTTTAAATCATGGCAGTATAGATAGATGTTTCACAGAATAGTCGAGACTATTGCTCAGGTACACACGAGTAGGAGCAGAAATGACTGCATTTTAGACCTGGACATACTCCATCAGAAGACTGCTCACGGTAATTTAAGGTATCAAAGTCAAAATACTCTGGTAACTACACCACTCAAGTGCTTAAATGCTTAATAAGTCCACCCCCATTCAAGTTGAAAAGGTTTCAAGATTGTTTCCAGGGAAACTTCAATTATAAGGAAAGATTAGAGAAGTTGAGACTGTGTTCTGTGAAAAGGAAAAGGCTAAGAGGAAGTTTGATTGTAGTTTTTAAAATCATGTGAAATCTGGACAGAAGGAAATTGCTCCCACTTGTAAAAGGATGAAGAAAGAGGGCACAGATGTAAGGTGACTTGCAGCATGAGAAAAAACATTGTCAACAAAGCAACTATTCAAGTCTGACATGCACTGCCTGGAAGTGCAGTTGAGGTAGATTCAATCATGGCATTCAAGGGGGTTTTAGCTAATTATTTAGCTAAAAATAATGTACTGAGTTATGGAGATGGGTGAAAGAATTCTGCTGAGGTCTGATGATAATTTGGAGAACTAGTGCAGACATGGTGGGCCAAATGGCCTTCTTTTATACAGAATCACAGAATTGTGAATGGTTAGACTAGATTCCATACCTTTTAGACAACAAAATAAACTTAACATAGAAGGCTAGAAATGTAAAACAAGCTGCTGTGCTTATACTCTAACATCCAGAATTAACAGGAGGTAAATATTGGATCAAGGACAAGCTGGTTCAAACTCCCCAAGGAACACATCAAATAGGAGATGCAAACGAGACAGAACCCACTGTCAATCCACTCACATGTTCGTGACACCATGGGTTACCAAACTCCATTAAAACATTGCCCCTTTCACAAGTGACATCAAAATGTCACTTTTGAAGACTCAGCTTCTGAATTTCCTCATACAAAACTAACCTAACCTGACTCAAAGACTGCTCACCTCGCATTAGTTCAATGTGGAGCTGGAGGAACCCAGCAGGCCAGGCAGCATCACGGGATACAATTAAATTGGAGAGTGGATTTTATAAACCTCTATAAGTCCACCCCTCAAAAACTCACTTTCCAATTTAGTTGTATCCTTCCTGTAACACGGCAACCCAAACTATACACAGTACTCCAGAACAGGTCTCATCAACATCCTGCACAACTGCAACATCATGACCAACTTCTATACTCAATGGTCTGAGCAATGAAGGCAAGCTAAACACCTTCTTAGCTACTCCGCCTATCTGTGATGCAACTTTCAAAGAACCATGTACCTGAACCCCTAGGTCTCTCTGTTCGAAGACACTACCCAGGACTCGACTTTAACAGTATAACTCCTGCCCTTGTTTGTTTCACCCAAATGCAACATTTCACATTTATCCAAATTAAACTCCATCTGCTGCTCCTCAGCCCATTGGGCGAATTGATCCCTTTGTAATCTTAGATAATCTTCTTCATTAACCACTATACCAATAATTTTGGTGTCATCCGCAAACTTAATAACCAGGCTTTCCAAATTATCAACCAAATCATTTATATAAATGACAACAAGAATGGACCCAGCACCGATCCCCTGTGGACCACTGCTAGTTACCGGCCTCCAGTCCAAAAAAACAGCCCTCCACCAAGCCAATTGCTCTTGTGTTCCTTATACTCACGTTTATTTTGCCATATTAAAAAAGATACTAACTAAATGCTTTCTCACCTCAAGATGTAACTTTGACTAATGAGCTGGTATAACGAGCTAAATTTCAAATTCCATTTTTAATTACCCGGCAAATAATGATTCCTTCCATGGATGAGAGAATAACATCTATTTTGGAGAGTATTTGACTAGTTCGCCTCACGCAGACAGAATTGGCACAATCTCCTTTGTCAGACGGTCCTTTGGTAGATAAATCAGAGTGCACCAACTTCATATCCTAGGTGAGAATATAGTAATTAAACAATCTTAGTTGAACTTCAAAGCAAAAGGATTTTTAAACATATACTTGTGCAGGATAGCCAAACAATAGTAGTGAAGAAAGCAAGTTATTTTTTTCAAAACTTTCATTACGTGACTGAGGCAGCATTTATTGACTGAGAAATCAATGCTAGACTCTCTTCATGAAAGCAGTTGCTGAACAACTGAATGACTTGCAAGGGCACTTAAGAATTAGTCATGCAGTGAAGAAATGGAGTTGCATACATGCCAGACTGAGTAGAAGTGGCACACGATGACCATGAAACCATTATCAGTTGTTGGAAAAACCCATCACTAATATCCTGTAGGGAAGGGCGGGTAACGCAATCTGACCTACACGTAACTCCAGACCCACAGCAATATCATAGGCTCTTAATTGCCTGCTGGGCAATTAGGGAAGGGCAATAAAAGCCTGCCTGGCCATGATTTTTTTTAAAAAACTCCCACTATTAAAGACATTTGTGAACTAGTTAATATTTTTTCCCTCTCATCCAGTGCTAAATCACAAATTACCTAACCTAGTGAATTTAGCTTGTCAGCTTACCATGGATAAATTTGAATTCATGGTTTGCAAGTTGCTAGTCTAGTATACAACCACTAAAATACTGTGAATCTATTTAAACCAAGGTTATAATTATATCATTTGGTCAGGATTGAGTGAAATAATATGATAATTGTGCACAGTTAACACCCAACCATAAGGATACCATTGTAAGGTAATCAGCTACAATTAGAATGTTAGAACATCAAATGAAAACACATTTTTAAGAACATTTTTTGTTGCTCAATGAGTGTAAAACTATAACTTTGAACCTTCCAGTATCAGAAAATAACACTGAATTCCACATAGCACATGGCATACATGGGAACATTATCACTGAAATCATCGAGTAGACAAGGATCTGCACCTTGTTTTATCCTATGCGTCACCATTAGTATTTTATCATTACTCTTTTAATATTCTTGTCTATATTATTTTTAAAGCAGTGTGCTTGATTTTTAAAATGCAGACCCTTCCAGCTTCCTTTGCTGATAGATTCAAAATTCAAATGGCTATATCTTATCCTATATTAAGTCCTGCTGATCTGTCCGGCACTGGTTCACAGCCCTAGACACATTAGATTTAAAGTCATTATCCTGGTTTTCAAATCCCTCCATAGCTCTGCTCAGTAGTAAACTTCATAAAACCTTCCTGTCTTCTTAAAATCTTTTTGCCTAAAACGTGAGTCCTCCAAATCTGACATTCTGTGTATGTCACACCACCGATGACCTCCAACCGCGCCCCCCCACCCCAACAACTCCCCTCCACCACCTTCATCATTAATGGGTCCTTCAGCTTCCCCAACCTACTCATTGAAAGTACTTCATTCACCCTCCACCTCTACAAACACCTCAATGAGATTTGTTTCTTTCCATAATCTTTAACCATCTCTCCGAACTCTCCCACATTAATTAGTTTGAAGTCTGTTCCTTTCAGATTTCCCGTATGTAAAACACAATGGGACAACTTTTTACAATGAAGTTACCATATAGGTTGTATGGTTGACTTCTTCTAACATTAGAAAAACAAACATTTTGAATAATGTGTAAGGAAGGAGTACTAAACATCAATTGTCTAAAACCTCCAGTTGTACTTTCTTGAAAGAAATATATTTAACATCTCACCAGAATAATGTTAGCCAGCATTTTCATGTTTTGTTTGATTTCTTTTTCTCTCTTTTTGGAAGTGTCTTTCAATGCATTCATTTCTGTTTTCAACGTCTGCACCACAATATTGGTCTGCCTTTCCTAACCAAAACACAATGTAATAAAGAAGGGAGGAGGAAGAAATGTAAAATTTGTTTACATTTTCCACATAACTTTGCTTTCCTTGTGAACTTACTAAATTTCTTTGATTCTCTCTGCAAACAATGCATTTATGTTTTAAAAAAATGTTTCTGTGAATCTGCAAGATAAAACAAAATAACTTAGGAGTCCACTAATCATCCAGAGGCATTTGGAATCAGACTCTTTCACTGTAGTTTAAGAATGTGACACATTTCAAAATTCTGTAGGGTTTCACGTTAATAACTGTCAGTGTGTGTCACGTTTTGGTATCAAATCTCAATTTCAACATTTTTCCCCATCTTAAAAGCTCTTAAATATCTTGTTGAATATCTTATTCCTTACATTTTATTTCTACTCAGTATATAGCTTACTAACAACATAACATGACTCATTAGTATAAAATACTACATGGCTATTGAAATAAAGACTGTTCATATGATGATTTCCCCATTGAGGTCAGGCACAAAACATTCTAACTTAAATGTTTTTTTAAAAAGGTTCATGTTCTCTGCCTCACTGCATTCATGAGATAAATGGTACAGATCTAGGCCATTCGGCCCAACCAGTTCATGCTGAGTTTTATGCTGCATTCTAGCCTCCTCCCATTTTTTCTCATCCAAATGGAATTCATTAGCAAAGAACCAGAGTCATTAAACAACCACTTCATGTCAGGAAGGCAAGGAAATTTTGCCTGAAGCAACACAAAGATGTATGAAGGTGTTTAGTGGGGAATGTGCTGAAAGGATATTTGCCACGGTTAAAGAGCCTAGACATAGGACTAGTGTCAGAATAAGAGGCATAAGATAGGGAGAAATGTTATCATTCAGCAGCTTTGACTCTTTAGAAATTCTCTATCCCAAAAAACTGCATGGTCAGTCACTGAATATATTCATGACAGAGATCAATAAATGTTTGGACACCAACAAAATTAAAGCATATAGGATAGTGCAGGAAAGTGGATTTGAGGCACATCAGTCTCATTGAATGGTAGGAAAAACTTGAAGGGCCATATGACTAACTCTTGCTTCTATTTATGTTCCAATTTCAAAGTTACATGCTGATTCCTGGTTTAAATGTTGCTTCATTCCTCCACTATTTCTCTGTGAGATAAGTTTTCTGCAGGCTATGTCCCTGCTGAAACTGTCCGCAACCAAGCCAGATGGATCTTTCAGAACTGATTTTAATTTAATGTGCACATCAAGCAATTTGCAGTGAAAATGGGCCCTCCTACTGACATCCTGGCCAGGGAGAGGGGCAGAACATCTGCCACAGTAACAACTTTGAAAAGACTGCAGTTTACGATTTGAAGGCATGTAGCCACATTCTAGTATGTTACCATGGAATCAAACAATGTTTCTTCATACAAAGGTATTGAGGATTTAAAAAACAGTAGATTGCAAAGCAGATTAGGAGACAGAATATGGATTGTGAGGAGGAGTGCAGTGCACGAACAATATGTTTTATAAGACAGTGATAGGGTGAAGCTTTCTTTGGCATTCCAATCACTTTCCCCAAAGTACAGTAAAAGATGGTGATCAGAGAAAACACTGCATACATTGTCCACAGGAACTGTGATTAGATGCAAAAGATGACAGTGGTTCTCATGAAAGCTGCAGATATATGGTAGCTGGCTTAAGTATGCACGTCACAAAGTCATTCCCATCAGACTGTTACTCATTTACTCCTGACTTAGATTTCAATAACACTAATTAAAATAATGAAAACATTAGCCTTTTATTTTTCATGAGATTTCAAAGCACTTCACAGACAATGACGTTATATTTTGAAATCCTGCCATGGCTTTGGAGATAAACACAGCAGCTAATTTGTTCACAGCAAGCTCTCAAAAATGGCAATAAGATAAATAGCCAATTAGGATTTGTTTTTACAACAGTGATCGAGGAAACCTTTGCTGGGATATCAGCACTTCCAGGCTTGTATCTGAATAGTGCGATGGCAGGCAGATAACCCATGGGGGAGGTGATGGCCTAGTGGTATTATCACTGGACTATTAATCCAGAGACCCAGATAATGTTCTGGTGACCCAGATTTGAATTCCACCATGGCAGATGATGGAATTTGAATTCAATTTTAAAAAACCGTGGAATTAAGAGTTTAATGATGACCATGAAACCATTGTCATTTGTTGGGGAACAAAACCCACTGGCTCAGTAATATCCTTTAGGAAGGGAAATCTGCCATCCTTACTTGGTCTTGCCTACATGTGACTCCAGACCCACAGCAATGTAGTTGACTCATAACTGCCCTCTGGGCAATTAGGAAATAAATATTGGTCTTGCCAGTGACACCCTCATCCGATGTACGAAATAAAAACTCAACTCGGCGTCCCTAACAGTGAAAGCTCAGGGAAGTATGAGGAGTGGTTAAGGATTCCAAAGCAGCAGAGAATAGGGGTTGAATCCCCTAAAGCAGCATTCATACTACTGAACCATATTAATGCTCAGGAAAAAAAATTGAGGGGCAGTACTGACTGAAGTGTGCTGTTCGGAAAAGATAAAGTTGTGCTGGTAGGTATTGGAAGAGTGGTTTCCAAGATTCCTGCAGAGTGTAGCGTCAGGAAAGGAAGGTGACCACTGGTACATGAGATTGCAGTACTTGAGGCAGTCCATGGTAGAGAGGCTTTTGAGGAAGTTTCAAGGCTAGCACAATGCAAGTGCATAATCATAATCCCTTGTGAAATTTTAATAAGATTTGCTGAGCCACAGTATCACTAACATCTGAGAGGGGATGACTGAGAAATCCATGGGATCTGTCTGATCACATTTGCCACCTGATGTGCTCTGCTGGGTGTTTGACTACTGTTTATCTGTTACTTGTACTTGCCACATGTTAAGGATGTTAGAATACAAGTCATAGCAATCTTTTCAAACCTAGGTCTACTTTTGTTAATAATCTTTGCATGTTTGTTACAATAGGTGCTATTTATAACAAGATAAAAATGCTGCAGGTGCTGGAAATCTGAAACAAACAAGAGAAACTTAATAGGTTTGGCAGCATCTGTTAAGAGAGAAACAAAGTTTACATTTCAAGTCCAGTACAACTAAGTTCTAAACAAGTGTCATAGCAGACTCAAAATGTTAACTCTGTTTCTCTCTCTACAGATGGTGCTGT